ATGAACCACATTCAATCGAATCGGTTATTTTCAATTTCTTCGTTTCACAGTAAAGTTTTTTTGTTTCTGTTTGTAATTTGTGGATGAACTGGCTGATAAACTGTTAAATGTTATCAATGATCTATTAAACTTTTATAAATTTCGTATAACTCAAAACTGATCGAAAATTGCAGATTTTTTAAAATTAATTGTTATGCAGCGAGAATGGCATCGCTTATTTTTGCTTTTTAATTATTAATTCAGCGAATTTTGCATGATTTTGCAATTACATTGAATTAATTTTATTTTATAAAAATATAAATAAAACCAAAAAAAAGTCAAAGAAACAACGGAAAAAATTAAAAAGGAAAAATAGAATGATTAAAAAGCGCAAAAAAAAGCAAAAATTAATGAGTTGTAGCGCTTGGACGAAAGCCTTAATTACACCCAAAAATCCCAAAAATTTCTCATTTCAACATTCGTTCCGCGATTAATTTACGTGCATAAGCGGCAAGTTCTTCTGCATTGTTGGCTCATAACGGTCGAATATGGCGGCACATTACAATAAGATGACATTTGCGCGCAGTTAGCTCGAATGTCCGTGCACGACGACGATCCCGCTGCTCCCGTTGTAGCTAAATTTGAATATCGTATCATAACAAATTTGCCAATAAATAATAGAATAAAGATGTCAAGTGTAATTGCTAGTTAAAAATATCTTTTTAAAATAAAAAAAAATTTAATGACGTAAACAAAATTGAAAGAATAAAAAATTTACATATGCAAGTCGTAATATTGCATGTTCTCATGCAATTCGCTTGCATGTATGCATTTGTGCATGTCAAAAGAGGCAATAACTGGACACAGTTCGTGATTATATCTGGACAACCACCAAGTGCTCCAGGTCTGTTGCATAACCCGCACGTACCAGGGCACTTTTCCAATGCTGTTGGTGCCGTTTGCGCGTTTGTGCACAAATCAGGAAAGGTAGTAAAAGGTGTACAGACAGCGCCAGGTGCTAAAATAAGGAGCTAAATCTATGATACAATTGCTTCGAATTTTCAAATTTTAAAAATTCACGCATTTTTCTTCTTGTGATACTAATACTACATTCGAAATTTTGCAATAAGCTATATACCATTGCCGCACTTAAATTCGGGTGCCAAACAGCATACTGCGCAGGAGGACGGGCAAATTTCTTCAGCATTGGCTTTAAGAGTTGCGTTTAGACAATACGCATTAACCAAGAAATCTTTAGTTCTAAAATGGGATCAATTAAATCAAAGCTTTAAATCAGAAATGCTCAATCTAATATAATGCAAGTTAAATTGAAATATAATTACGGATCTGCATTATCTGCGGCATCTGCACCATTTGGGGCAAAAACAGCAGTGCACACGGTTGGATCCTTGTCTCTGCAAGCAGATGGAGGTGGTACAGGACGAGCGGGACCTGCGTTAGGTATACATTGAGTTAGAGCAACACCTACTCCTGACTGAACTTCTTGCAAAAGACTGAACAAAATTAGTATTGCGAACACTGCGAACATTTTTCAGTGAAAACTGATGGTGGCAAGCGACGTATTTATTTGCTTTCAGCTCGAATGGTTCTAAAAATCGTCGAAAATAAATATCGACAGTTCGGTATTTGCCATGCAATCTATTATTCTCTTAGTTTATTTAAGCTAAGATTAGCAGCAATTGATAAAACTCTATTATCCTATTGGCGATGTCCAAACAAATTTTTTCATTCCAAAACAATCCAAAAAAAATTTTTTTGCTTTCTTTTTTCAATTAATTTTTTATAATCGATTTGGAGATTTCTTTCCTTAACGATAACGATAACGATGCGAACGCTGCTTAATCCTATTTGGAGGATTAAATTTCCTTTTGCACCATTAGTATTTCTCCAGTAATATTTCTATAAGATTTTTTCTATGTTCTACAAAA